CTGACGCACACGCACCTAGGGCCGCGCCATATCCGCTGAAGTTTCTATCTACCACATTTTAAGTACGCTTATTACTTGTCTTACTATTGTTGGCTCAATTCTTGTAGGAACTGGAAGTGGCTCCCTCTCTCATGCTCTTATTAGAGCCATCAAACCAAATGGACATTTATACACGTTTGATTTTCATGAGCAGAGAGCTGATGTGGCCCGAAATGAATTTGAATCACATGGAATTGGTGATTTTGTTACTGTGGCCCACCAAGATGTTTGCCAAAATGGGTTTGGATCAGATGTTGCTGGGAAAGCTGATGCTGTGTTTCTTGACCTTCCTCACCCATGGGAAGCTGTGCCTCATGCAGTTATTGCAATGAAAGATGCAGGTTAAAGAAGAAACAATACTCTATTGTCAGTCTATTGCCAGAAATTCTATATGGGACTGTTGGCTAATGTGTGTACCTTTTCTTTTTAAGGAGGGCGGTTGTGCTCATTTTCACCCTGTGTTGAGCAAGTGCAGAAAACTTGCGAACAGTTGCGAATTCTTGGTTTCATTGAAATAACAACCATGGAGGTCCTAATTAAAGAATACCAAATTACTTCAAGACCTGTATCTGTGATAGACTTGGAAAATATTAAGGTTTGGGCCATACATTCTGCTGAACAATTTATTAGAGTGAGGAGATTCAAACTATCTTACTTTCAAATTTTGAATATTTCCAGCCTGAAGATTCTGGTCCTAATACTAAATGGAAAGATCCTGTGAAGATAGTCTCGTGTCAAGCTCCACCAACACTTGCTGGTCACACAGGATATCTTACAGTGGCAACCCTCCCTCCAAAGGGAGCTCGGGTTCCTCACTCTGTGAACAGATCTGATCAGCAAGACTAATGTTGAATAATCTCTACATTCAACCATAAGGTGTGTGTGCTAACTTGAAAGAGTGCAGCATAAAATTTGTGAAAATGAATTATACTCAATTGCTTACCTAATCAAATTTTTGTAGTTTTATTTATTATTGT